AAGTCTCTTGTAGTGTCCTGCTAGAGCTTCCCTTTTTCCCTTCCCACTGCTGACTGACTGGGGAGGTGGGGGGGCAAAACGGGCCAAGTAAGTCTGTCTGTGTGTGACCAGCCTCGATATCACCCAGCAGATTCCAGCCCATTTCACCATCTCGGCACCAAATTGCAATCTAAGACGTGTTCACAACAAGTAATATTTTGCCCGAGCTGCCCCAATTGCTACCTTTTGAATCCGTGCTCAGTGCGTCGAGATAGTGCAGCGTCGGTACCCAACTTGAAGCAGGGAATTTTCTGGCCCCTTGCAACACCGAGAGGAGGCGTCGTTTGATTTTGAACCAAGACAGATAGCCTCGCACCTGTCGCACACCGCACACCATACACACACAGAGCCGGACATGGACAAACAGAAAGAGGGAGACACAGACCACAGCGAGGGCGAGACCGCGGGAGAAGGGTGTGCCATACACTGCTGCTGTTAGCTATCGGCGGAGGAAGCGGGAGGAGAGATCAACATTTGGTTGCAGCAGCAGCAGCAGCAGCGGCCGCTCTCTCTCTCTTTTCGCGGAGAGGGGCACATGACACCAACAACACACAGACGCTCGCTGCTACGCACCACCATTGGTGCGACATGTACTGTACGCCTCTCTACACTTGTGTGCGCGATGGCCTAGTGTGCGACCAGTGCCCCCCGTGCTAGCCTGGTTACCCATCACACGCTTGAACGCTTTTGAGATTTCTCGATCAAAGCTCGAACCAACAAGCGAAGCACAACAGCAGAGACATTTTTTTTTTTCGCTGCTAGCCCTATTTTTTTATATACCACACCCCTCCCTCCCTCGCCCCCCCCGGTGTTTGCCATCGGGGTAAGGTTTTCGTCACTTGGCAACGACGTTGTAAAACAGGCCAATTACCCCCCGGTGTTCGCCATCGGGGTTGGGTTTTCGTCGCTTGGCAACGACGTTGTAAAACAAGCCGCCGCCCCCCGGTGTTTGCCATCGGGATTGGGTTTTCGTCGCTTGGCAACGACGTTGTAAAACAAGCCACTTCACTTCGTGAACTCGGCAACCAGGTTACCGTTTTTTTTTTTTTCCTCCGTTTATTTTTTTTGGGCGGTAACCATAATGATGGTTGAGTAGATCATGTTGTGCGGGGTGAACCCTCACTCCGCGCAAGGGGGATGATCGCACCACGTTGTGTTAAAATGGTCAAGCACCCTCGAGGCAGTTACACAGTGCTTACAACTGTCTCAGGAAGTAGAAGCACCAGAAAATAGATTAAGTCATACGCAGCTGTCATTCA